CTTGATTGGTACCTGATTAAAATATCCTATACTTTTAAAAATTGGCTCTAGGTTGAAAGTGAACGTGCAGACCCAGAGAAGATCATCGATAAGTTGTTTTCGATCGTAACGTATAATACGAAAGTATCCATCTGCAACACCATACAATATACTTCTTTGTACATAGATGCGGATGGTTAAAATCATGAGACACCCATTACAGGACTTATCCCTTTCAAAAAATAAAATTTTAGGAGTATCTTTTGCAGAAGTAGATCTTACATGCGTATGTGATAACAGCGTTCATCATGCAAAGGGGCACAATCCTTTTGAACCTGCGGCGATAAAAATCCAAAATGGAGACCGCCGTAATTTCCTCCCGTAATAGTATTCTAGACATAAGGTAACCAGAAAGTACGAAAAATCTGGAATCTAGTAAAGCCTTATTCGCCAGAATTAGTAAAGTGATGCACAAGTTACATGTCTACTCCAACGAATCCGAAGCTGCAGGACTTTGGTATCAAGTGCATTACGAGAACGAGAAGAATTGCCACTCCTCTTAGACCTTGCAGATCCGCTCTCTTGCTACTCTCATGTATAAAATGGTCTTGATATATCTACATATTTTTACAAACAAGATAACACCCTTACGTTTCCATTTTCTTTTCCATTTTCTACACGAGAAATAGTAGCTATTACGAGAGAGATTTTCCTGAAAATACTACAAGAGAAAGACTGCTGGAGTACCGTAAACAATTCAGTCGGCAACAAGTCAAAAGCTTTGCTAACAAAGGAAGAATGTTAGTCGAACGGTCTTTGGCCTGATGACACTGCTCAAAAGGACATTGAACGCGGAGTTCGAATCTGCATTCCTTTTTGCGGGGTATTCGGCAAGAGGTCATGAGCGTTTATTAGGGCAGAAAATTGAATGAACCAGCTCGAAATTTGTTGCATGTCTTTCCTTGGATGGAGCACAGATGATTGTCAGAGCACTTTGTCAAATGCCCTCATTGATAATCTTTATTTATTCACCACCACCTCATTTGAGCTAGAAAATTTTTGACATCGATTTCATTTACTTGCTCACTCAACTTTCTGCTGGTGCAAACCCTCGTACTCTACGGAGAAACCAGTAGCATGAACGGATATAGAATTCGTTTCATGCCCTTTTAAGCAGTGTGCATCTTATCTTGACATTCCGTTTGTCTAATCATCCTCTCCTCGTAAATCCACTACCAGGCTCTGCAGCTATTACTGAGAGAATCACCGGGGTAGGCGGCCATAAGATTTATAGCAAGCGAGCACCGGAAAAATAGTTCGCTGATTTCTTGAGCTCCGCTTGCAGATATTTGGAAAATTTTCAACAATTTCTCAAAGAAACGCTCGGGGAACAAACCCGCTTTTTTATAAACTGGTTGCGGCGCAGTGGCCGCATTCCAACGGACTTCTCGCGAAAATATACAAAATTGTTGAGGGTCGCAAGATCTTTTGTGAAGGACCGCGCTGCCCGTAGGTACCTTTCGCTGAGAGAAAGTACCTTAAACTTGAGTAATCAAGTAATCGATGGCACCTCTGCCATAGTCTCACCTTAGCTCGGTGTATGCCCGAAACCGCTTGAAAAGATACCGAGCGCCCTCAAAAATTTGACCAGTGCTCGCTGAAAGAAATCATTTGACGAGCGCACGCAGAAAA